GGGGGGGGGGGGGGGGGGGGGGGTGGGGGAACGTACCTGGTGGGCGCGACAGATCAGGTCCAGGTCGTGTTTGTGCAGGAACTTGGCGACGACCTCTGCCCCAAAGGTGAAGGAGACACCGCGGTCATTCTCCCCCCAACCCTGAACATCTTTATCTGGGTCAGACCACAGCAAATCACACAGCAATCCCTGGTCGGGAACGTCTGTCGGCCTCATGATACGACGGATCTGCTCCATTGACTGCAAATCCGGGGACAGCCCTGGCCAGAGGAACAGGAGACAGGGAGCAAAGGTCAGCAATGAGCAGGGACAGAGAGCATGTGCGAGAGGAGACAGAGATAGGGGAGTGAGGGGCAGGTAGATGGAGCAGGACGGGCAGGCAGCATCAGGGGGTGTGCTGAGAGGGTGTGTGGGGCAGCTGAGACAGAGGGAGAGACAGGAGGAGGAGGAGGAGGATTGGACACTCTCTCTGGGAATCGATGTTACCAACCTCCATGACAGCAGAATATTTTCTCATCCACTATCGCTGCAATTGGCAGGCAGTTAAAACAGTCAGTGAAGGTCTTCCACAGTTTGATGTTGTAACGCCTTTTACCTATTATAATACAAAACAGAAATTACACCCACACTACACAAAGATCACCCTCTACACTGTCCCCCCCCCATCACACACCCCCAGGGACAGGGACTGCACGGGGTTAGATACAGAGTAAAACTCTCTGTACACTGTCCCCGCATCAAACACCGCCAGGACAGGGACAACACGGGGTTAGATACAATGTAAAGCTCCCTCTACACTGCGCCCCCATCAAACCCTCCCAGGGACAGCATGGGGTTAGATACAGAGTAAAGCTCCCTCTACACTGTCCCCCATCAAACCCTCCCAGGGACAGGGACAGCATAGGGTGGGGTGGGAGCGGTGGTGGGCATGGGGGGGATACAGACACAGTAAAAGGTCCCCCGAGTGTGTACTGGGGCCCAGTGAGAATGGCCGGGAGCACAGGGGGCATGTACTCACACTCATCGTAGAAGCCGTAGATGCGGTTGATGCTGGCACACTCGTGGTTCCCTCGCAGTAGGAAGAAGTTCTCGGGGTATTTGATCTTGTAGGCCAGCAACAAGCAGATGGTCTCCAGCGACTGCTTGCCTCGATCAACATAGTCCCCCAGAAAGAGGTAGTTACTCTCCGGAGGGAACCCTCCGTACTCAAACAGGCGGAGAAGGTCATAGTACTGTCCATGGATATCACCTGGACAGGGACAGAGGGGGCAGCCAGGAAAAACAAGGGGAACACAGGTTGTTACAAACTCCTCAAAATTCTCCTTTGCTTTAAGGAATTGCTGGACTTTGATAGCCCAGAACCCAGACTGTGATTTTTAAAAAGCGGCTGGTTATAGTGACTGAATAACTGCATAAACCTTGTTTGTGAGACTGACAGAAGGGAACACTGAAAACCTGTCACAGATAGTTCTAACATCTGCCCGTCTGAGGGAGTCCAGTGCAGGTTCACTAGACTGATTCCTGGGACGGCAGGCTGGGAAATGAGAAAAGATTGGATCGACTGGGCTTGCATTCACTGGAATTTAGAAGAATTGGTGGGGGGGGTGGTATCTCATAGAAACAAATAAAATCCCGATGGGACTGGACAGCCTAGATGCGGGAAGAATGTTCCCGATGTTGGGGAAGTACAGACCAGGGATCACAGTCTAAGAATAAGGGTTAAACTGTTCGGGACTGAAATGAGGAAGAATTTCTTCACTCACAGTTGTGAACCTGTGGAATTCCCTCCCACAGGAAGCTGATGGGGCCAGTCCATTAAATATATTCAAGAGCGAGCTGGACGTGGCCCTTACAGCTAAAGGGATTGAGGGGTACGGGGAATGGGATACTGAGATTGCATGTTCAGCCAATGATCTTATTAAATGGTGGTGCAGGCTCAAAGGGCTGAATGGCCTCCTCCCTACGTGCTCTCTTGCAGCTGATTACCCCCTTGCCTAAAGCACAGATCATACACCAAAGTGTGCACACTTACCCTGCACTGCTAACGGTGGGGGGGAAAGAGACAAACACAGGAGTTTAAAAATCTAATTTCAACACAACCAAGTCAGAAAAGGTCAGCGGACTCAGCGTTAACTCTGTGTTTCTCTCTCCAGGCTTGCAGCATTTCTCAAGCACTTTCTGTTTTTATCAGACTATGGGCGCGAGGTGTTGGGACTGAAGGCTTGTGTCCCCCGCAGGCCTGGTGTGGGCCATTACTGTATGCTGACAGTCACAGCCAAGTAATTCTCCCCCAGCTACCCCCTGCTTTGAAGGTAAAGACGCTCTCTCACTCCGAGTGACTAAAAGCCAGTTTTAAGAAAGGATTCAGCACACCAGAATATCAACCAATCTGTAAAACGAAGAATCATGAAGCCAACTAGCAACATGAACAGAGCTGGTAACCCCTCCGCTGTAACATTCACCTCTCTACTCTTCCTGAGCAATTCAGAGACTGGTCCGCATTGTCTCTTTTCTTTAGCACTTTGATTTTTCAGACTCAACCCTTATATCAGATTGTGCGCGCGTCTCGTGTTAGTCTTTCTTGCATTCACTAATTAATAAACTCCCTCTTTTTGTGAATTCAAACATGTCTGGTTAAACTGGCCCCGTAAAACACAACGTCTAGGAGAAAGCAGCCCTTAAGGGAGGAGTTGTGTGCATAAAGGAGGGGGATACCTCCTCACCTGGGAGCTCAATAGTTTAGAAGCATAATGACTGGAAACGTTATAACTGTTACTTCGCCACCAGCCCCCGCCCTCTCTCTCCACAGATGCCAGCCAACCTGTAGAGTTTCTCCTGTACGCTGTGTATCGATTTCTCTCCTAAAGCCTGTTCCTGCCCCAAAGCGATAGGAACTGCTTGGTTAACACAAACACCTACTGTTTGTCGATGACCAGCGCCACATGATGGGAACTCCCAGGCAGCTTACTCCATAGACTCCACGCCTGCCTGAGGCTGATTCAGCACACGAAAACCTCTCCAAAGCCAGTTTCCTGGAGCATGGCGATTTCACTAATCCATGCACCACACACCAGCCACACAACTCTCTGACTGCGCCCATTTGGACTCTGGTCTCTCACAGGTCGGCCATCTGTTGACTGGGTGTGAAACACACTGTCTCCCGCCCCACCCACCCACCCACCCATACCAGCGGGTGTGTCCGACAACTTGGAGAGATCGATGCAAGAGATAAACACATCTCCAGGTTTCATTCCCAGACAGTCTGCTGCCCTGTACTGAGAGAGAAATCCAATGGAGAAAAACACATGGACTTTTTGTACAGTCAAGCCTCCCTCCCCTTCCTCGGTCGGGGGCTAACAGGATAAAGGGGTCCTGCTCTGTTTCTCTTCCCTGCCCATAGGATTTGGATTTGGATTCGGAATGCACTAGCGCCAGGGCACTGCAGGCCTACTCAAGCTGGAATGGTTCTGACAGACAGACAGCATCTAAAATGGTAACCAAGTAGCCTGCTCCTGGGCTGGAGAAATCCAACAAAAGTTTGCACAGAGACAGCTCAAATTAAAACTGCTAGCAATGGATCCTGCATCACACCCTGTTAGATCCTGGATTCAAACTCCAGGATTACACTCAGATCCCACACACAATGACCAACTGGGGATACAGGGACCTGGATTACATACCGATGCCTCACACACACACAGACACAGACAGATCGTTCGGGGATACAGGGACCAGGATTACACTCAGATCCCGCAGACACACACTGATCGATGGGAGACACAGGGAGCAGGATAACATCCAGATTCCGACCAGCGCGGTACAAATTAAACTCACCGCAGATTTTCAGAGGGGCTTCCAGCTCCAGAAGAATGGGCTGACTGAGGAAAATCTCCCGGGATTTCAAACAAAGCCCTCGGATCTCATTCTCCGACAGTTGAACATTTTTCCCGGGTCTGGATCCTTGCACTGGGAGAAGAGCAGACAGATTGTGGAGAGAGTTGGGGGTGGGGGGGGTGCAAATAAACACAGGTGGGGGAGGAGGAGATTGGAAAGGAGACACTGTAAAAATGTGAAATGTCAATACCGGGCAAATTATCACCCACCGAGGGGGGTCGGCCAGTCACACAGTGACAGGGCCGCACTGTCGGGGGGT